CTTTCCCAGGAGTATAACCCAGAGATTTCCTAGTAAGGATACTAGCTATGTATCTTAAGTGCTTATAGAGCCGTACTGCCAGAAAGACAGACTTTTCAGAGGTACATTGGGGGCTTTCCTGGTGGCAGGAATGGCTCCGAAATGTCTGTCTCTGATGGTGCGAGTATGATGGATTCCCCAGGAAAAGGACTGGAGAAATAAACTGAAATAAAACTTCCCATGAGCTCAGTGTGTGCCTTCTATCTAGGAAGTCTTCTACTGGCTTCCATTGGTGTAATGTCTGAATGCTTCCCCAGTTAATCAGATTGGTGGAGCAAGGTCCCTGGTGCACGTGTGTGTTTGGGGAGAGGTCAAATCAAATGGAATTGTAGCTCAGATTTTAAGGGAGCGAGGTAAACCGTGCCCTACGATGAGCTGACATGGCTGGTAGGGAGCTGGGTCTGTGTGTACTTGTGCTGCATTCTGTAGAGTCACAGATCAGAAGTAGTGATTCAGTGTAACAGTGGGGTTAGCGCCTTTCCCCTCCAGAGACCTAGAGTCCAATATAGGTTTGGTCAGATGTGGAAATGAGCTTGGTGGGTCTCAGGCAGGTCCCTATTCATGGAGCTCGCCAATCACCATGTGAATTTACTGATAATTCCAGAGTGTCTTGGGGAAGAAATATCAGGACTGTTGCAGGTTTGGATTGAGGAGCAGAGCTGTGTGGGGGAAGGGGTTGTGGGCCTCAGGACTGGAGGTGCTGTATGTGATGATGGAGGTGCTATGGCAGAGCCATTAGGGGATTCAGAGGTGGAATAGTAGAGGGATGTTAAGGATCAGGATTCAGTTGCATTGGGAGAGCTGTGCGGAGTGCCAGGGCCAGGATGTAGATGTGAGGGTGGAGGTATGTTGGCATGTGACCCATGTCAGGACTAACAGGAGATGTTGCAATATTGAGACATTATCTTAGCTAGGTGAGAGGAAGCCTGCCTAGCACTTACCCAGACTGTGCCTGTGTCTATCCTTGGCTGTTGGTCTCTCACTTCTCAAGCAGTGAACTCACCCATCATTAGTAAGAATAATCAAAGATGCCGAGCACAGTCGGTGTGTTACTGAGAGACTGTCAGGATCATTCACGTCAAGGCAGTGATGGTGGGTCTCTGCTTGGAAATGGAAAAGAGAGCGAGCCTCAGTCATTCCTCAGGGACACATTTCCTTGGGGGGAAGACAGGCCTCCGAAGGATCCTCTCTGCAGTTAAATGCTCTTCCAAGGCAGTGGTGGCCAAGTAGAGTGGACCCTTCACATCTCCCAGCATGACTCCGTGGAGCTGCGGCTAGCCATCTGCTAGCAGCTACAGCCCTTCCCTACTGCTGAATGTGGGAATGGAGGAGGATGGAATATTTATTCTGTGCTGGGTTTCCAGCAGCCACTTATGGTCTCTCCCTACCCGCAGTCTTCATTTAGAAGCACAGGCATTGCTGCATTACCATATAGGATCAAACCAGGGATCTGTCTAGCCCAGGATCCTATCTCAAGTGTTTGCTACCAGCCACCTTCAGAGGAAGGTGCAGGAAGCCCTCTAATGAGAGTGAACTTGCCCATAAGGGAAGTCTCTTCTTAACGCTCATCCGTTAGGGCTTGGTTTGTATCCTGAGGCATGAGGGTTTGTGTCAGATGGAAAATATACATGTCTGTGTTCTGTGTAATATAACTAAATGTTCTCCCATTACCCAGATAAATGTCTAATCCTTTTCTCAACCCTGCTATGCATTTGACCACGATGAGATCTAGTGGCAGTGAGTTCCACAGATTGATTGTGCACATTTCATTGATGCCCCCTTGTTCTCCAGCAGAACCGAGTTTCCCTTCTCTGTACCTTTCATTCTGTATTGTGTATTGATCCATTCTCTATCATGTGCCATGTTATTTGGGTCCTCTCTGAACTAAATAGCCCCAATCTCTTGTGCTTCCTGGGCCAAGAGAGCATCGCATTCTGGTCTTAAAACTAATAACTGACCGTAAATGATGGTGGGCGAAAGGCCCCCAGGACATGCAGTAGGAAGAGTTAGTGTGAAGTTGTAGCACCTATCTGAAGCTGTCCCAACAGAGGCTTAGCTCACAGGCTAAGCAGGTTAGGATCTGGTCAGTACTTGGATGGGAGACCTCAAACGAAAGCCCAATAGCTGAAGGAAGTGACGTTGATGATTCAGTCTGTGTACTGAATGCATGGCTTTCCTGAGGCTTGTGCTGCTGGAGGGAGGGTCTTTAGTGAGGTGGCAAGCCCAGGTCCTGATCATAATGCTCAGCTAAAAGGTCTTGTTTGGGGCCATTAGAGAACCTGTTTTTCACATGAGTAGGGTTGTCATAACTCTTCCCTTGGGTTTTCAGTTGGCAGCTGTATTCCTCTTCACTTCCTCTACTAGCCTTTCTGTGGCTGCAGCCTGCTGGGAAGCTGCTGTTGCACATCAGTGATTGCTGGATGCAAAGCTCTCTAGGGAGCTTTGGAGTAGTGTGTCAGATGATGCTGTTTGTTCCTCTGAATATAGCAGTAGGGATATGCTACCAACCACCTGACCAGGATGGTGATAGTGACTGTGAAATGCTCAGGGAGATTAGAGAAGCTATTCAAATAAAAAAAATCAACAATAATGGGGGATTTCAATTATCCCCATATTGACTGGGTACATGTCACCTCAGCACGGGATGCAGAGATTAAGTTTCTTGAAGGCTAAAATGACTGCTTCTTGGAGTAACTAGTCCTGAAACCCACAAGAGGAGAGGCAATTCTTGATTTAGTCCTAAGTTGAGCACAGGATCTGGTCCAAGAGGTGAATATAGCTGGACTACTTGGTACTAGTGACCATAACATAATTAAATTGAACATCCCCGTGGCAGGAAAAACACCACAGCAGCCCAACACTGTAGCATTTAATTTCAGAAAGGGGAACAACACAAAAATGAGGAGGTTAGTTTAGTTAAACAGCAATTAAAAGGTACAGCGCCGAAAGTGAAATCCCTGCAAGTCGCATGGAAACTTTTTAAAGACACTATAATAGAGGTTCAACTTAAATGCATCTCCCAAATTAAAAAAGATAGAGAACCAAAAAGTGCCACTGTGGCTAAACAACAAAGTAAAAGAAGCAGTGAGAAGCAAAAAGTGGAAGTTAAATCCTAGTGAGGAAAATAGAAAGGAGCATAAACTCTGGCAAATGAAGTGTAAAAATATAATTAGGAAGGCCAAGAAAGAATTTGAAGAACAGCTAGCCAAAGACTCAAAAAGTAATAGCAAAAAAAATTTGTAAGTACATCAGAAGCAGGAAGCTTGCTAAACAACCAGTGAGGCCACTGGGCGATCGAGATGCTAAAGGAGCACTCAAGGATGATAAGGCCATTGCAGAGAAACTAAATGAATTCGTTGCATTGGTCTTCACAGCTGAGGATGTGAGGGAGATTCCCAAACCTGAGCCATTCTTTTTAGGTAACAAATCTGAGGAACTGTCCAGATTAAGGTGTCATCAGAGGAGGTTTTGGAACAAATTTTTAAAAAGGGCTCCAGAGGGGATGCCTGCAATTAAAGGCCAGTAAACCTGACTTCAGTACCGCATAAACTGGTTGAAACTATAGTAAAGAACAAAATTGTCAGACACCTAGATGAACATAATTTGTTGGGGAAGAGTCAACATGGTTTTTGTAAAGGGAAATCATACCTCACCAAGCGACTATAATTCTTTGAGGGGGTTAAGAAGCATGTGGACTAGGGGGATCCAGTGGATATAACGTACTTATATTTTCAAAAAGCCTTTGACAAGGTCCCTCAACAAAGGCTCTTAAACAAAGTAAGCTGTCATGGGGTAAGAGGGAAGGTCCTCTCATGGATTGGTAACTGGTTAAAAGATAGGAAACAAAGGGTAGGAATAAGTGATCCCTTTTCAGAATCGAGAGAGGTAAATAGTGGTGTCCCCCCGGGGTCTGTACTGGGCCCAGTCCTATTCAACATATTCATAAATGATCTGGAAAAAGGGGTAAACAGTGAGGTGGCAAAATTGTAGATGATACAAAACTACTCAAGATAGTTAAATCCCAGGCAGACTGTGAAGGGTTGCAAAGGGACCTCACAAAACTGCGTGACTGGGCAACAAAATGGCAAATGAAATTCAATGTTGATAAATGCAAAGTAATGCACATTGGAAAACAGAATTCCAACTATACATATAAAATGATGGGGTCTAAATTAGCTTTTACCACTCAAGAAAGAGATCTTGGAGTCATTGTGGATAGTTCTCTGAAAACAGCCACTCAATCTGCAGTGGCAGTCAAAAAATCTAACAATGTAGGGAATCATTAAGAAAGGGATAAATAATAAGACAGAAAATATCATATTGCCGCTATATAAATCCATGGTACGCCCACATCTTGAATACAGCGAGCAGATGTGGTCGCCCCATCTAAAAAAAGATATACTGGACTTGGAAAAGGTTCAGAAAAGGGCAACAAAAATTATTAGGGGTATGGAACGGCTGCTGTATGAGGAGAGATTAATAAGACTGGGAATTTTCAGGTTGGAAAAGAGATGACAAATACGATAGATGTCTATAAAATCATGACTGGTGTGGAGAAGGTAAATAAGTGTTATTTACTCCTCATAACACAAGAACTAGGGGTCATCAAATGAAATTAATAGGCAACAGGTTTAAAACAAACAAAAGGCAGTATTTCTTCACACAATGCAGAGTCAACCTGTGGAACTCTTTGCCAGGGGATGTTGTGAAGGCCAAGATTATAACAGGGTTCAAAAAAAGAACTAGATAAGTTCATGGAAGGGCAGGGATGGTCATCCTACCCTCCGTTTGCCAGAAGCTTGGAATGAGCGACGGGATGGATCACTTGATGATTACCTGTTCTGTTCATTCCCTCTGGGACACCTGACGTTGGCCACTGTCAGTAGACAGGACACTGAGCTAGATGGACCTTTGGTCTGACCCAGTATGGCTGTTCTTATGTTCTTATGTTCTGTTCCCAGGTGACCTCGCGCTGGACCTTCCGCTGCCCTGGCTGCCCTCAGGCCCTTTCGCATGACGACTCGCACTTCCACGAGCGGCACAAGTGCATCAACTTTTTCGTTAAGGTGTATGGGTACATGCCCCTCCTGTACACCCAATTTCGTGTGGATTCTGTCCTCTTCAAGACCCGCCTGCCCCATGACAAGACTAAATGCTTCAAATTCATTTAGGAGGGGGTTACTGAGGGGTCCCTTCAGCACTCTGGACCTGGGCGAGAGGCTGAGGGGTGGCGATCTTTGCCGGGTTCCAAGCGAGAAATGCCTCCAGTATGGGCAGCGATGCAAAGCAAAAGGAAAATCATGGATTCTAATCAATGATTTTTACCCACCCACCCCGGGGTAACTGCACCGAGTGAAATGGAACCGGGCCATATGACCTGTGTGAAGACACTTGCTAGGATCATACACTGAGGAAATGGAGACTTTGGTTAGTAGCTCAGCTAGTCCGTTAGCCAAGGGCCACCATTTTTTAAATTCTTGTTATTTAAAATGAAAGTGTTTTAGATTTTCCGCGTGAGGCTTTTTTTTTTTTTATAGACTGCCAGTCTATCCTGGGGGGGGGGCTGTGTAGGAGAGAACATGCTGTGGACGGGCCTGGCTTGGGAGAGACAATTCCCAGTCTCCAAGCTGCTCCTGTGTCTGTCGATTGTCCTCTGTGCTAACTCATTTCGGGGCGGGGGTACAGTCACTCTTGCTTTCCCCTCCCTGTTTTGATCGGCCCAAGTTATAACGATCCGGTCCACGCAGCTGGCCGTGCTCCTCGGGTGTGATGCCACTGGTTTATCTTCCTCTCTGGCTACTGAGGCCTTTCAGGTGTCACATTGATGAGCTCCCCTCCCCCGTCAGACCCCCACCACCCTCCCCACCCACCGCCTTCACATCACAGCCCAGAGAGAGAAGAGCGGGGAGGGGGGTTCCAGAGGTTCCCTCCCCAACTGCCTTTCCCACCTCCTAGCACCAGATTGACAAGAGGGCGTCATTCACCTGCCCTCCAGATGGCTTCAGCTGCTACACTCTGTCCAGGGGTTTGGTTACCACTGCACACACTCAACCTACACTTGACGTTCCGAGCCCAGTTCCTCTCCGCCCTGGTCTCACTCATTTCCCTTCCTGCTCCTCACTGCTCGAACACTATTAACCTTCACCCATTCGGACAGCCTGGGATCCTATTTGGGGTGACAATAACCAGGGTGGGTGTGTCCTGGGGCCCTGTGGTTTTCTGTAACCTGCTTAGTCGTAAAGGGAGCTTGGTTTAAATTCTCTCTATTTTGGCCTTTTAGCAAGGACATCAGGAATGTTCCCCATCCTCTAGGGGCCTCATTTGTTGGAGCTGGAGATCTGTGCCAACAATGGCACGAGATTCGCTCCAGAGGGTCCGTGGCGTCATCGTTAAGTGAGTAAAAAAGGCAGGTGCTGCTCATTCAAAAAACTGGGGGGATGGTCACACGCACAAGCCAGGCGGGAGCAGCTTCTTCCCCAGGGTAGTTAATGGGAGAGCTGGCCACTGCTTTGCTAGTAGGTGCATGGAGAGGCAGGTGGTGTTACAGGGTACGTCTACACTAGAATGAAAGGCCTGCAGCATGGCCATGGCTGGCCCAGGTCAACTGACTGGAGCTTGTGGGGTTCAGGCTGCAGGCTAAACATTGCTGTGTAGATGTTTGGGCTCAGATGGGAGTCCAGGTTCTGGGATCCTCCCCTCTCGTGGGGTCCCAGAACGTGGGCTCCAGCCCAAGCCCCAACGTCTGCAGAGCAATTTTAGAGCCCCGCAGACAGAGCCAGCTGGCCCAGGCTGGCTGTGGGTGTTTAATTGCTGTGTAGACGCAGTCATAGAGGCTGGATTTGGTGAGAGGCACCGGTGGTGGTGAGCAGGGCTTCCCACGGCCCTGCCCCTCAGAACTGCGGGCTCAGATTCAGTAGGACTTACTGCGCTGCTCCTTTTGGGAATGTGGCAAATGCAGCTCTGGTCTTCCTGGGGCAGCAGGGAGAGAATAAGCCCTCTCTGAGCGTTACACAGCTTTAAACTGCCAGGAGGCCCTAAAGCGAAGTACCAGCAGGACTGGCTGCTTTACAAGACCACACCTGCCATGATGTGCTCACTTGCCTACACCCCCCACAGCAGTCAGATAAGACTGTCGTGGGCTTCAGTGTTCCTGCCTTCAAATCTCCCCTCCTACACGCATGCACACATGCCACTGCCACAGCAGGGCTGTCTCACGCGTGCACACACGCTGCCGCAGCAGGGCTGTTCCTCCTCCCCGGCTGCCTTTGGAGGGGATCGCACTGGGCTTTAAAACAAACTCCTCCTGCTGCAGAATTTGGGAGGGTCTCTTGAACCTCACTGTTTTGTCCGCTCTGAGCCGGCTCATCCTTCCTCTGAAGCAAACTCCGTGGTGCGCTGTGATCCTGCCCTGGCGTCTGCACCCTTCTTGCTGCTGCGGTTTCCCTTTTTTGCTCCCTTGCCCTCGGCAGTGCGCTCGTTCATTTCCCATCATGCAAGAAAGGACTCCATAGTTCTCCTTTTCAGAACGACCGACTGGGCCACTTAAATTGTTCTACTTGTTTTTTTAACGGCAGCCCTCAGAAGGTAAAGTAGCCCCGTCCCAGGAGCGCTCTCAGTATGTATTAATTGTCCCCAGCTGCCATCTAAAATCATTGTTAATATTATCCTGTCATCACCCTGACACTGATTCTTGCCAATGCTGGATCCAGATCTAAAGTGCCACCCCAACTACCAGAGTCACTCAGTCA